ATTCTCAAATGGAAGAAATTTGGTAGGAAAGCTGAATGGAGCAAAGTATAGGGATATCCTCAATGAAAACCTGAGTTCCATAGTACTCAGGATCTCAGACCTGGCCAAAAGTTCACTTTCCAATGACAATGATCCTAAACACACAGCCAAGAGAACACAGAAGTGGCTTAGGGACAACTCTGTGAATGTTCTAGAGTGGCCCAACCAGAGCCCTGACTTGGACCCTACTGAACATCTCTGGAGAGACCTGAAAATGGCTGTCCACCAACAGCCACCATCCAACCTGACTGAGCGTGAGAGGATTTGCAAGGAAGATGGCAGAAAATCCCCCGATCAAGGTGTGCAAAGCTTGTTGTATCATATCCAAAAAGACTTGAGGCTGTAATTACTACCAAAGGTGTTTCAAAAAAGTACTGAGAGAAGGGTCTGAACATCCTTGTGATATTTCAGTTTTTTCTTTTTAATAAATTTAGAGATATTTCTAAAATTCTGTTTTCACTTTGTCATATGGGATACGGAGTGTAAATTAATGAAAAAATGCATTTCAACAACTGTAGAATCAGGCTGCAGCATAGCAAAATTGACAAAAGTGAAGAGGGGTCCGAATACTTTCTGAATGCCAGTATATAGCATATTAAAATAACAGACATTTCATACTTTGCCAGCTTTTCACACATTACCAGTATCATATATACTTACCTTTATATAAAAAAGAAACGGTTGATTTAGTAATTAGGCTGATATAACTTAATAACTTCAGTTAATAGAAAATATTATAGTTTCTGTTTGCTGAATTGGCAACTTAACCAAAAAGATTAAGAACGAACAAGACTCCTAGTAGTAATTTGTCACTTGAACAACTATTAAACTCACATTATTGAAATATCAATGGCTTTCTTACAGTCTCCTGCTAGTTTACAAACACACTATTTTGTATCATGTTAGAGATTGTAAATGACCTATTCATATTTCTGACATTGAAAGGCAGGTATGACATTTGAAACTTTTGCTTTTCTAATAACATTTTCATTAATAAACTAATAGAACCTTATATTATTTGACAGTTAGGTCTCTCTAATAATAGCTTTAATATAATTTTTATTGCATACTCAAACGTAAAAATATACCTGGGTTTTTTTATGTTCATATAAAAAACTTCAATGCATATACTTTTCTGTAATTTTGAGAAAAGAATACTTGAGAAATTGATATGGGTGGAAAAATTATAATACTTTGGAGCATGAATAAGAAATGTGTAACAATTTGGTTAAGTAAAAGCTTAAATTCATATATTTGCTTGTTTTCTCTTATTTTGATAGGAACCTCCAAAGCCTTCTCAAAATCTTTTAAAGATTGGAATGAAGCTAGAAGCAATAGACAGAAAAAATCCTTATTTAATATGTCCTGCAACTATTGGAGATGTAAGAGGAGATGAAGTTTTTATAACCTTTGATGGTTGGCGTGGAGCATTTGACTATTGGTGTAAATATGATTCTCGAGATATTTTTCCAGTTGGATGGTGTGATTTAACAGGGGATGCACTACAGCCACCAGGAAAAAGTGGTAAGAATCTTTATTGTGTGGTTTGTGTTTAACAAAATGGATTAAGCTTTTAAGGTTCCATCTTCATAGTGTATATTCTGAAATTCTAAATACCATAAAAGGCAACAAAAAGGTATTTCTCTGATTTGATTTTAAAAATCATTCAACCTTCACTTTTGGTGGGGCTTACTATATAAAATACAGCCTTATATTGTAAGAATTTCTATATTGGTTTAAGTATGCCAGAGATCCATATACATTAATAAACCATTTTTAAAGAAATGACAACCACTGACGTTACCTACTCTTTCCTCCTCTTTTATGTATGTATGGGTAAGGAGAAGATTTGTTTGTCAAATTTGTCAATTAACTATATTCAAATGAAATAAAGAAGTTCAACTGCTCTATCATTTATTTATTTGGAATATTTTTTCATGCTACTAAGGACATTATATAAGTACTTTTTAAAATAAGGGCAGTAAAATCAATTGAAGTCAGGCACACATTCTTAAACAAATATTGTAGACTGTTTAGCACCCTATATTACAGGTAGTCCTCGAATTACGAATATGAGGCTCGTTAAGTGCACATGAGCTTTTTCAGAGTGGGGAAGGCCATGGGGGGGGGACTACTGATGGAACAGGCCATCTGCCTAAGACCACCCAAGGCATCCCCGACCCACTGAAATATCTCATGTTCCCCACAATTGCTCCCCCCCAAACTGCTGTGCCAGGTCACTTATCTTGTGAAGATCTAGCAAGCACTCTCTTCTCCTACCTCTCAGCTGCATGTGCCCCTCTGCAGCTCTGTTTGGGCCTCTGCAGACCTCACCTGGCAAGTTGCTGGCCAAAATGGAGTTTGGTTGGGGCGAATCCAACCCTATGATGCTGCGTTCGGCCCTCCACGGGCCTCCCCTGGTCCCTGGAAGCTCCATTTTGGCCTGCAACAGGCCAGGGGAGGCCTCTGGATGCTTGAACAGAGCTTCTGAGGAGCGGATCCACCCCTCAGAAGCTCCATTTTGACTGGCAACGTGCAGGACAAATGCCTCTGTGGTTGTTTGTAAGGGCAAACAACTGCTGTGGTGCTGCAAGATTCGTAGTTTCGGGGCTTGTTCGCAAACACGTAACTTCAAATGTTCACTAAGGGAACGCTTGTAACCTGGGTATTGCCTGTATTAAAAGTTCAAGAAATGGATCAAATGGAGTTATTTGTAAGGCAGGCTCAATGGGGTCTCTTTTCTTTTCCTATGCTCTGTACCCAGATGGAATGTTAAATGACAATAGAAGTAGATAGCTTATGCTGGTTGTATTGAATGATGAATATGGATCTTAAAGTTGATACATAAAAATAATATTCTGTAGATTTTTTTAGGTGTGGACTCATATAAATAGCTTGTGATCATGTGAGATATGGGTATGATATTCTTCAAAATATAAAGCTAGCTAGTTGAATCAACAAAGAAAAGTCATATCAGAACATTAAAATACAGAACAACTAAAAGTCATTTAAAAGGCAATTTTGCAAATATAGCTTATCTCCTTAGTGGAAAGCCAAGGGATTGATACATCTTGCTTGATATTATACATTAATTTAAAAAAATATTATTGTGCTATTGAAAATATGCACTCATGTGTACCAGTTTGGTGTTTTCTGGAGGCTGCATTAATAACCTTAGTAATTTCAAGCAATTTCAATTTCAATTTTTTTTATTTAAGTTGTTCTTTAGGACTGTTGATAATACATGAACAGAGGCTGTTGCATATCTAGTGAGTGCACAAATAACCTGATTAAATGATGTCTTAATTGTTCAGTAGCACAGCAAGCAACTAACGTTTTGTTTGCATTGTGGAATTAAAAAGGCTGTTGTAATATAAAGAAATGCCCTGAAAAGAACAAAAATGTTTTCTATCCTTCCCCTTCTGCACACACTGTATTAATTTCAAAGAGACGTATCATTTTCTATTTGTAATGGCTTTTAAAACATACTCTTTTAAAGTAATCATGTTGTTTTAGGATTTTTAGTTCCTGTTCTTCCTTTGAGGAAAAATTGTCTGCAGATGAATACTGGTTGGTAGCTGCATTTTTTTGCATGTCTTTTCAATTCTTTCTAAATTTCTGACCCCTCTAACATTTGCTCTTCTCCTAGAGGCAGAGTGAAGGAAGTAGAAGTAGGGGACTCATGGTCACTGTTAATAGAGCCCATAGACCAGGGGTGTCAAACTTGATTTCATTGAGGGGTGCACCAGGATTGTTGACCTCGGGGGGGGGGGGATGGACATGGTGTGGCCAGGACTATGTTGCTCATATCGGGGGACACCTGGGCAGGGCTGTAGGGATCCATTGTCTCCTGTGGAGGAAAGTGAGAGCATGACGAGCACCAAACCCTTGTACACCAGTGAAGCCTCGCCATCCCTTTCAGGACAGAGGAGGTTAAATGCCCAGTCAGCCCTAGAGCTGACTGAGGGCACTAATGGCACACAGCCCAGCACAGCCCAGCCCAGCCCAGCCCAGCCCAGCCCAGCCCAGCCC